TGTAACTATATAAATCTTGCATTTTACTCAACTTTTTTTTTTATAATCTCTTAGACCACTTTATTTTTACTATAGCTTTTCTTTTATAATTCCTCAGACCACTTCTAACTTGTGTCTTTCTCATATTAATATAATTGACTTTTAGAAAGTATATACCTTTTCAAATTATGTTTCTTGTATTTACCTATTAGTTTAATCTATGAAAGCAATCCTATATCATACTGTTAGCTTTTAAAAAATAATTCAATAATAGTAATCAATATATATATATATTCTATTTATGTTTCCTCACTTAATTTTCTATATAACTTGCTTCTTCTACAAAATAGTTTAAATCATCTGATTAGAATAATCTAAATAAGGTAAAAAGAATTAGTAAATAACTAATTTAGATAAGGCTAAAATTCTCTTAGCATTACTAAAATTAGTTTTTAGCAGATAATGGCTATGTATCTGCAAATTATATGTATATACATAGGTAGAAAAAGATTCTTGATATAGAAAATTTATTGCATTAGAGAATTCTGAATATGAAACTTTATGTCAAAATTAATTAGAGAAGTATTAAAGTTATCTTAAAAAGACAATATAAATTATAATCAAAATATATTTTTACTTCTCAAATTGTAAGTTTTGTATAAAAGATCAATAATTCATTAAAATCAGTTTTATATCATAGCATTAAATTCAAAAAAATACTTGAATCTTTTGAAATCTCAAGAATTATTAGGTACCATAAATTGGCCTTCAAAAATATATAGTTGTACAAGTAATAATAAATAGCAGAAACTGTTGATATTATATAACTGATCCTTTACTGATATGTAACATATAAAAAAATATATTATTAGAAGATATTTTATAGGGCTAAAGCCTTATTTATTAGATGTTCAAATTGTTCAAATTTGAAATAAAAACTTTTAGTATTGTTACTAAGTATTTAAAATTTAACTTTATAAATATTTTATAAATTTGTATTAATTACATGTAAAAAAACAAACCCTAATATGATAAATTATTGGATATTTAATTCATTTCACTCTATATATATGACCAAAACCTTTTAGCTAATTTGTAAATATAGTAAAAATTAGGCTTTATATATGTTAAGCCAAATCTATAGAAACTTATACAAGGTTTTTTGGTATTTCAGAAAGATCTTTTAGTATTTTAGCAGACTATAGAAGTTTTGGCTGTATATTAAGTAAGATTGCTGAAAATTCCAAAGTCTGCTAAAATATCAAAAGGTCTTGCTGAAATACTAAAAGACCTTGTATAAGTTTTTGTAGATCTGGCTTAACATATATGAAGTCTAATTTTTACTATATTTACAAACTATTGAAAACTTTGCTTTAATTATTTGCCACATAGCCAAAATAGCTAAAAGGTTTTAGTCATATATATATTCTACTCCTTTCTTCTCTACTCCAGCTAACAATATCAGATCATTCTTTTAGGATTAGAATCTAACACTATTTTATTACAATAAAAATAGTGTTGAATTATAATCATAAGTAACAATGCTGTATTTTGAATTAATTAATAATTACAAAGTTTATTGATTAAATTGGAGATCTTCTAAAACTGTGTGTGATTATATAATATAATATTAATAAAATTGTTTATTTTGGTTGACTTGACAAAGCAAAAAAAAGTGAAAAATGTAAAAAATAAAAAAGACCTCAGGGCATTAATAAAAAATATCAGAAAGAAAATTTTGCTATAAGATCTGCTTCCACTCTAATTTTATACTAACTTTAATTAAAAATATAACTACATTCAGCTCTAAATTTATCTGAAGGATGTCTAAAACAGAGCCAATTCTTTATAATTTAAATTTTATTAAATTAACTTTAGGCTTAGAGTCATCTTATATTAAGATTAGTTTAAGTTTTAGATAGTTATATATAAGCAAATTGCTTTCTTAACATTTTTAATTAATTCTTCTGAAATAAGTTTAAACTGATATTTTTCTTATCAGCAATAATCAAAATACTATAATTTGATTAGTCTAATATTAGATGATTTTGCTTCACAAACATTTTATCTGAGTTAACTAGTTAACAAAATTGTTATTCAGTTAAGAGTCTTACATAGATTATTCAAATAATTCTTATTCAGGCCTAATCTCTAGTCTATTTTTCTTCAGAAATTTTAAAGAGAAGATTTTGAAAGTATTTTTTATTCTTAAAATATAGTTTGTAATAGTTGTAATAGTCTAACATTAAAGAAATTTGAGAGAATAGTTTTTCATTGAAATATTCTATGAAATAAGAGTAAATTGCTTGTTAAATTTGTTGTTATTTTGTAAGCAAAGTATTGTTATTAGTATTTAATCTATTAATATTAATACTATTATATCTTTTAAGAATATTTAATAGAAGATTTTTGGTGAATTTTTGAAGGTTTGATTTCACTCTTCAATTTTTTGTTAAATTTTTTTTTAAGTTTATTGTTTTTGTTATAAATTTAATACATTTTTAATCTATTGAAATTCAGATTTAATAGAAGAGAGAGTAGAAGAAAAGTTGTGGAGTTAGTTATCTAGGTATTGTTAGTAATAATTTTTGATAAATTGGTTATATTTTCATAATTATGATGATTTTTAAAGAATTGAATCTGTTTAAATCAGTAGTATAATAGAAAGAGTTTAGTATTTGTTTGTTCTTTGATTTTATGAATAGTTTTAATTTTTCTATATAAATATATTTAATAGAAGCTTTAGTTAGAGCTTTATATATTTTATTCTATATTAAATTAAGTTGATTTTGTGAGTTAATATTAGTTAGTTAATTTTGAAGCTGTTGCAAACTTTGAGAAGTTTGTAATATATATTTTTCAAGTTGTTTTTTGGTGCAATTTTTCTAAAGAAAACTTTTTCTAGTTTCTTGCTTAGTTAGTGAAGTTTAGTTGATTTGAATTGCTAGTTCAAGTATTATTAGTTAGTGATCTGATTTAAGTTAAAGTTCAGATTTTATATCTTTATATTTAATTAGTATAATACTAATATTAGTTCAGATATAACAATTCTGCTTTGAAAGTTTCTTCTTGAGAAAGTATAATTAGTTTCTTTAGAAAAGAATATATAAAAAATATTTTTATATTGTTCGTTTATTAGTAATTTAATAAGTTATAATTTTGGAATTGAGGATTTTTTATAAAGAAGTCTATTCAAATGAGATTTGGTATACTATTAAAGTTTTTCATAATAATAATTTTATATGTTATATTTAAACATAATTTGATTATTTCTTTCTGAATTTCTTTTTAAAGTTATTTCTTCTCAGCTATTAGTAAGTAAATTTGAAGAAGTCAAATAGAATTATTTTTAAAATAGAAATCAATACTGATAATATAGTTATTGAAGTTATGTATTTGAGCAATATATTTGAATAAGAATTAGTAAATAAAGATTCCTATACCTGCTTGCCAAGAGTTGATATAAGAACTCCAAAAACTAGTATAAGTTAGTATTTTTTTGTTTAGAAATTTGCATTCTTGTGTGGATAAATATGTTTCTGAAATGCCAAAATATTATAGTTGTTTTTATGAATTGTATCAAATAATGAAAGTTGTTTGTGAGAAGATAAGAGTCTGTTAATATTAATTGAGGCAATATTTAAGTTTAAGTAAATATTTTCAATTGTATTGTTACAAGTAGTGTAGCCTTCATAATATATCCCAAGTAATATAAGATATGGAAGGAGGACTCTCAACAGTGTCAAAGTGGAATATTAAATCACTTTGGCAGCTCATTAAAGAAGTTTATTTTTAAAGCCAAAAGATTATATTTATTAAAGAACTAGTAGAGAACTTAGAACTTTATTGAGTATTATATTTTTAACTACAAAACTATTTTACTATTTATTAAATAAGAGATTGTAGAGGACTAATCTAAGTTAGAGCAAAGGGAAAAATTACGGCATAGCATAGTTTATATCGCACAATTCGTATTATTGCACGAATAAATGGGAAATATAATGTTAATATATTCTTTGATATATAATGTAACGGGCGAAATTGTCGTTGGGTTATACATTATATAATCCCAAAGATTCTAATGTTTTAATGCCCCCAACCTCACATATTGTCAATCGCTCCTATGTTACATTTTTAACATTTAAACATTTAATTAAAATTAATATCTACACGGAATATCTTAGATTCGCATTTGTTTTGTCCATCCATCTTCAATTATCTACGGATGTTTGCCGGACAAGTTATCGTAATTAGTTATGCTGTAGAATCATCCCAATGAAGTTACGGCTTAAGCTAATTACGGCTAAAGCTTATATCGTAACTAGTTACGACAATCATAATCCTTCGGACATACTCCGTGATCTGCAATCCGGGAAATCAATTTACCGTATTAATTTGCGCCAATTGGACGAGTTTTTTGGACATAAAAATCATAACACTTCTATTTGTCAAGATGGATTATATTTAAATATCTTGATTTTTATTAAGAGATTACATATATTACGTATCGTTATTGATTGTTCATATGATTAACGTTTAAGAATTACTAATTTTCGATATATTATACAGTACGTAAAGAAAAAAAAAAAAAATTCTATATGGAGACGCTCACAGCCAAAGCAGGGGATGGGACTATATAATATAGTCCCATCCCCTGCTTTTGCTGTGGGCGTGCCCATATGAAATAGTCCTATTAACACGAGACATAAAAAAAAGCCACCTGATTAACCAAAAAAAAAAATGTAAGAAAGAAATCTATACCAGGTTTTGTTAATCATCAGCCTGAATTAATTAATATCGACCTGCATTAAGCTAATTTTAAAGTTAGAGTTAAAACGAGGTTTTAAGTCGGAGCATATATCAAAATTATGAGAAGAATATTTTTTATTAGAGAATGCAATAATATTTTGTCGATAATCGACAAAACCTGGCACAAAATTCTTGCGTGCAAAAAACAGCCTTCCTCAATGTCAATTTTAAATTTTAAATTTTGATTTTATATTATTAAAAGGCATTTAGAATTAATTGTTATTGCTATTATTGCCATAATATGGATTAATATTTGGTATCCTTGCTGCATGATGAGTTTCAAACCTAGGATTAGAAATGTTTTGTGTATGAGTAAAACTATTTGACCCACTTGACCCGGGATTAAAATTCATCCCGCGATTAGGATTTGAATTGCGCCGATTTTCGGTAAATCCAAGACTAGGAGGAGGACTAAGAAACTCGTCTAATTCACTTCGAGGAACATAGGTAGTATTTGATTCGAATTCAATTTCTCTACCGGTTTGTTTCCATAACCGGCGTGATATTATAGCCATTACTGAATATATAATGGAAATTATCCAACTAAATGCTAAGCTGGTTACGTAGCCATGGCACCACCCTATTAATGAGTCTGTATACTTGTTGCCTACTGGGTCTTCGGTCTTGCACACTATGATAAAACCGACATATGCTGGATATATGTATGATAAAGCTATAACAAATGTAATAATTAATTAGATGCTAATTTAATTGGTTATTTTCACAAGATATATTATTTAACAATTAATTATTGTACCTGCTGAAAGCCATAGCATTGCAAGACCACTTTTTTTTTTAACAAAAAAAAAAAAAAAAATAGTTCTCGAATTAATTTCATTTTTTAGAATCAAAAAAAAAAACATTCATAAGGAAAACTAAAATCAACTTACAAATCAACTATGTGATCAGATTGTTGAATTTCAGATTCAAATCGACCGAACGATATTATGACATGATAAACTACAATAAAAACCGAGAGTATACATTATTAAATCATGTATCGAATCACAGTCTTTTAATTATGCTTTAAAATATAACTACCACTAATAATAAGTCCGATAAATATAACTGTCCAACAGTATGGTTTTATTCCTTGTGTTTTGTACCTGTAATTTATGGATACAAAATAAAACAAAAAAGAGAAATTTTAAACCTTTAAATGATTAGTAACTTTATAAGAAAACACACTCACCATCCTTCAGCGAAAAAATCACTAGTATTTCTATCCGGATGTTCGTGGCTAAAACTTACTATTTGGGTTATTTCTTTTAAATAATAATTATGAGGGAATGTATTTAACATTCACATTGTTATTTCGGTTTGGTAGGAAATGTTGATATAACAAATAATTAATAATTCGGACGGACAAACCTGAAGCGAGGCACACAGTGACCAACAAAACAATTAATACTCTAAATGTTCTGTAGACGTTTATTAAAGTTTTAGAACTCATAGTTAATTATTATGTTATTTTATATAATATAAACTAGCCACGAAAATAATTTTATGACAAGAAGTTCAATTAACATTTATGCTTGCCAATCATAAAAATTAAATTAAAAGATGACGAATGTAAAAGGAATAACGGTAAAAAAAGTGTCCGCCTCAGGAATAGTATATCTTAATTTAAGTTAATTATTTAATGTTGCACTATATTTAGTACAAAGTACGTACTATTCTAATGCATAATAACAATGAAATTCGCATTTTTAGTTTTTGAAAAGAATTATTAGATATCGCTTACTTATTTGGGTAACTGCTTTCAATTGTCTATTACGTATCCCTTGTAACAGTAAAATGCATATATAGATGCACTTCAAACAGTGTTAATTTGTGTTTTGTATATGCAGTACTTTCGTACTGTACTTTGTGCGCTATTTAAAGTTCATTTAAAATCACTTAATTCAATCTTCGAAAATTTTTGATGCTACACCCTAGTCTTCGACTCCCTATATGATACTAGGATGGCCATAGTTTTGCAGAATCATATTCATTACGAAGGATAAGAAATCTTCACCATAGTCTAGCGGGAGTCCAGTCTAACTTCACCTAGAAACCTAATCTCCTTAAACATTTCGGCATTTTTCCAGATGTAAAATTTGTTTGTTATTTGCGTTTATTTTCATGTCTGAAGGAGTTTCATTTTATTTATTTTATTTTCTTTTTTTTTTTAAAAAAAAATGACAAAATGAAACTTCTTCAGACATGGAATAAATTTCATTCTTTTTTTATAGGCTGATCTAAGGCTGTATCTGAAAAGTACATACTTTCGACATTACCGAAATCGGAAGTATTTTTGATACGTTTTGAAAGTAGGAAGTCTTATCAAAAGTCGAAAGTGTTATCGAAAGTCGTAACAGATAAGTGCTACCGAAAATGGTGCCGGACATCTATACTAGACAGTTACACGAAGTTTCACCATATTACTGAAAGTCAAAAGTGTTATTGACAGTCGAAAGTGCTACCGAAAGTCAAAGACAATTGAAAGTCTAAAAGTTTTTATAGTATAGATGCTCCGCGTTATTTTTTATTGATTTGTAATATGCTAAAAATACTTTCGTAACAAACAGTATATAATAAGTAACAACTTAACCAAAATAGCATTCCATTAAGATGTACCGGTACCGGTACGTACAAATCAGAAAATTGATGATCCTTTTAAAATATTAAGATTTTTTAACAATATTTAGGTATATTTTTATCATAATTACATAATTTTGTACGTACGTAGAATTATCGAATTTTGTTTAATTAAAAAAAATTTTTTTTTTTTTTGAATATCTGAAAAATCAAAAAAAGATGGGTTTCTGATACTACCTATCCAAATTGAAGAAAATTTTTATTATTCGAATTAAAAAATATATAGTAGATAGCCGAAACTTTTTTTATAGATGTTTATACTTTTAAGATTTCTTAACAATAGCCTAGTTAAATTCGATAAATTTGTAAATTAAATAAATTAGGTAAGTGTCGAGAGATTAGGGATTTAATCGTTTAACCGTTTAACTCGGCCGGCATTAAGATAACCTTGGCCTATGATCAACATAATTCGGCCCGAAATTATGGAACAATTTTTATGCGGTTAAACGGTTCCAATCCCTACGAGAGATCATCAAAAATATTAAAAAAGAATCCGCGACAAAATTTTTAACAAGGATTTCTCGACAACATGTAATTAAATTCGACACAATTTTTTTTTTTTTTTTTGATTATCAAATTTGGATAGATTTGAGAAACCTTCAAAGTTTAAAAAGAGAATTCCTGTTTTTTTTTTATCGAACAATTTTGATTGGTGTATATTTCGAGGTCTTATGGGAATGCTATTTTTATAGTTACGGAAGTATTTTTAGCGTTATATAAATTAAAAAAATAACACAGAGTATCTATACTATAATAAACTTTAGATTTTTTAGCATTTTCGACTTTCGGTAACATTTTCGACTTTTTGTAACACTTTCGACTTTTCGGTAATACTTTCAATTTCGGTTTTGCACGTAATTATTTTTGAATCCGGACCAATTTTGTAATTTTACACAGTAATAGTTAGATCAAAAATTTAATCTGTTTTCAGACCATTTCTCGAGATTACATTCCTTATTTACACTCCATTTTACCGATTACATGTTTCTTTTTACGGACATTTCCCGAGAGGCTATAATAATATGTCGGCAATTTAGAAGTGTCATTATTAATCATACCAATTTTGATTTATGCAAAGTACATTAACTATTGTTGTTTAGGCTCTGTTACCCGATGAGTTTAAGAAAGTTAGGGTCAGAAGATAATACCTTCTATAATGACGTAAAGTAGGTTGTCGCTCAATTCCCCGAAAACTACTTATCCGACAGACTTGCGATATCACATTGGGTAACAATTTAGCATTTAGTTAGCTATAGGTATATTTTGTTAGTAAATTTTCACCTCATGTGATGTTGGGTAAATAGACTTTTGGGTAAATAGTTTTCGGGGAATCGTACCGTAACAAAAGTAGTATAGCAATAAATTAGGATGACTATCGAAACCGCACTTACAGGATAATATTGTGACGGTTTAGAAAATTAAGTAAGAGAGGAAGTAAGGAAACCAAGAGTATTTTTCTTTCTAAGATAGTTTTCATTCATATTTATAGCCATATTTATAGCCATATTCTATAGTAATAAATCTATCATACTTAATAGCTATTGGATGCGAAGCATCCAAAGCTATTAATTATGTCTAAGGGATGGATTGCGATCATAAAACACTGTTGTGAAGTATCATAAAAACAGATGAGGCCATAAAACTACTGATTTGTTTTATGGTCGCTCATCGTCGCAATAAAACAATAAATCCGTTATTGCAATGTTACGTATGCAATAAGTGCTGTATCAGAAGCCTAAAATCTTAATTTGCGCTTTTGGAACCCCTTCGGGGTTCCAAAGTGCTCATTAAGATTTTAGCTTCTGATACTTGACGTATTTTATGTTTGATCTTGATTGTTAAATAATCCGGCCGTACCGCTAGTCAATCAAGATCATCCATAAAATACTCCACTTATTGCATGCTTCGCACGCAATAACTATTTAATATTTTCTATATTTTTTTTATACTTGTAAACTATTACGTATTTAATATTTTTATTAATATATATATACTGTAATAAATTATATTTTTTAGTATATATATTTTAATATATTAAGTTTAATATATAGTTAGTAATGATGCCATTTCTACATTATACTGTTTATATCTTCAAAGTTTAGACTAAATTGTAA